CCCATCCCCATCTCAAGGAAAATCAGCCCCCTCCTCAATAGCCATTGCTAATTACGCGGCGCCTACTGCTTCCGTAGCCTGCCTTTTGCAAATCTATTCTTGCGGACTGGTGGGCTCGGGGGAATTCACGTGAATGAACACCATGACATGGAAACACGAAACAAAGACATTAACCTCATTAAGTCAGTGGAAATCACGACCTCTCTGAAGAGCCTTCCACCTGGCGCTGCTGAACTGTGGTCTGTTTACTGACAGCCACCAAAGCATGAGACGCGAGGTGTGGAAGGAATCCTGAACATCTCTTTTAAACGGCGACATCTGCCCCAATGTCAGAGAAACCAGCCAGAGTTCCTGCAAGCGGGAATGCGAGGGGAAGCGGCATCATTCCAAGCGAGGCTCTACAATGCACGGCATCGCGTCAGGGCAGAAACGAAACGATTTTTGCTGGAGAGCAATCAGCAAACCAAGGCCCGAACAAGCAGCCCCGCTCTCCCAGGCCGTGTTTCCAGACAGACCTTTCAGACAGCCACAAACCTCCCTGCTGTCACTCCCGGGAAACTCGAAAATGCTGAATCCTAACGGTGAGCCCAACAAGGTAGGAGCGGTTTGCCCAGGTCTCCCCCAGACGGGGACAGCCAGTCGGTGCTCGCTCGGTGGGGCTGGGGGGCAAGCATGCTCAAGCGGCAGACACCCACCCTCCTGCCTCCAGCGGTCATCTCACGGGGACCTGGGGCTGGCTTTGTTTGAGGTTTTCCGCTTTGAAAAAATAGAGGGGGTCTAATTTCAGATCAGCCTAACGCATCCCCAAATACCGGCCCTCTGTTATTCCAGTCCTAGGACACTTGTCCCCAAGCAGCATCCCCTGAAGAAGGTGGCTGCCACTTGCACTCCTGGAGCTGACGGGGCCACTCACCTGCCTTCTGGGCGTCTGCTCATTAAAAAGGACACCGTCTGGTTTATTAGGGTCCACCACACGCTCTGAGAACCCGGCGCAGCAGCTGTTTCATTAGGGAGTGTCACTGCAGAACGTCAGAGGCAATTGGTGAGTGAGGAGAGTCCCACAAGGGTCGAGTTTGGAGGCAGCGAGTCCATTAGTCCTATTAGGGTGTTTTCATCTCAGTGCAAGAGGCTGAATTATTCACGAGTGTCTCTTCCCCTAAAAGCCCGGGAACTGCAGTACCGCGGTGCAGCCTGGCAAGGCCACTCCCGGCATGTGGGGCTGGGAGGGGGCCACTGGCTGGGGTCCTGCGATTCCCCCGGGCACACCCGCCCTGCTTCCACTGCTCTGAGTGCCGGAGACATGGACCCCAGGTGGAGAGAGGCAGGCTACGCTTTTCGTTGCTTGAGGACGGGACCTGGCTTGCAGCTTCCGCCGCACCACGTTCCTAACTGTGTCTGCAGGGGGGAGCCGGGTCCCCATGGCATGTGACCACCACCCACAGTGAAGGGGCTGGGGTCTGGCGAGACCTCCCCTTAGCACACGTGGATGGACACCCTCCCTCCCTTCCACCAGGACGTGCCCTAGATCGGTATACCCTATACTGCCAGTACCATAAATGGCTGGAAGTTTCTAGAAGTCTGCTATTTGGACCCTAGGCTGCCACTTCCTCCAGGCAGGGGCACAGGGACCTTCCTTCACAGCACACGTCCTGACTTGGGGTTTGGGAAATGCTTTGAGGCTGCGCTCTAGGGTGAGGCTATGCTGAGCCCCTGTTCCAGGGTCACGACCCTGGTGGCACTTTGGGTCACCCCAGGATGCCAAACAAGTCTCACCCTGACATTATCTTCTGGCTAAAAGAGAGCGCCAGTGCATGTGGGATTCTGGAAGGAGGCTGAGCTGTTTACCCCATGATAAACCTGCAAACAGGGTGGCTGCCACCCTGGGGGGAATCACTGCCTCAGACCCGCAGCAGAAGGTCAATGAACTGGGAGGGCAGGAGGGGACACAGAATTGGAGGCAGCGGCAGTGGGTGATTATCCCGTCGCTCCCCTCTGTCAAAGCAACGTCCCTCTCAGTGCCTGCCCGTCAGTCACCAAGCCCCGTGGATGTGGCCTCGGACACCCTGACTCTCCTTCACTCTCTTCCTGTGGTTCCGCCCCTCTCCATCTTTCCTGGTCTCCCACATCCAGCCTCTCCACCCTGCATCTTACTCCCTGCTACCCAGCTTCCTTCCTACAGCAGAGCTCTGATCCCTGCCCTGCTCAAACACCATCGATGGCTCCCCAGTGCCCATGAATGCAGTCCAAGCTCTTCTGCTTGACATTCAAAGCCTTTCCCCATCACACCCCCCTCTTCCTCTACAGTCTGACCTCTCGTCACATTCCATCCCATCCGTGACGGCCCAGTCGGAACTGCCAATTCCTGTTCTCTGTGCACCCCCCCAAGGTGTGGCTCAGGCTGTTGCATCTACTGGAGTGTTCTTCCCGGTCTCTGTGCTGAATCCTGCTGAGCTTTCAAGGTCTGGCTCAAAGCCCCATGCTGGCTTCTCCACAAAGCCTTCCCCGACTCCCAGCTGGCTGTGACCACTCCCTCCTCCAAACCCCAACAGCTCGATGGATTCCTCCCACAACAGGTTTTGCCTTCTAGATTTTATCAGAGTTATTCAGGTTCTGGGGTAGATTGCATCACTGTTGCTGATCCTTTATCCCGCTCTGTATCACATGACTGTGGTTCCCCTCACGGTGGGAGGAGGATATGTTCCTGCCCTTGACACTGCGCTCGGTCACGAGAATTGCTTAGGCCTGAAGAATAAGCAGAAGTGACAGTGTGCTGGTTCACCACTGTGGGTGGTGCCTTCAGAGACATTACGTGTTTTTGCTTTTCCTCTGGCACTTCTGCCTTGAAAAGAATGTGTCTGGGATGGCCCCGGGGTAAGAAGGACAGGGAGACGGTCAACACCTGGACCCAACCTGCAGCTCAGAGACAAACTCAGCTGAGCCCAGCCTAGATGAACTCACTCTAGTCAACCCACAGACATAGAAGAAATGAATGCTCATTGTTGTATGCCACTGTGTTTTGGGGTTGTTTGTTATGCAGCATTCTGTGTGAGAGCTGACAGATACAGGGTCTTACCTCCCTTCCCAGTCTGTGAGCTGCTTGAGGGCAGGGTGCATGCCGTGAACATTTACCGTGTTAGAGGAGGGGGTGCCACACTGTTGACTGACTTAAACAACCATCCAATAGCCATGTCAGTGCCTGGGTGATGAGGCTGCCCCATGCACAGTGGCACCGAGTTCGCTGAACAAAGATCCCACCCCCTTAGAGGTGATCACCACAGGCCTCACAAGAGACACTCAAGTGTCTGTGTGAAGAAGCCACACTAGAGATGCAAAGGGCAGGATGGCCAGAGCTGGTGGCATCAAACGTGGAGCTGAGAGGCTGAGAGGGAAGTCTGCAGATCTGGGATTCAGTTCTCCAACAGAGCGCGCCCTGGGGCAAGCAGGCCTCATGCAAGAAGACGCTCATCTAGAGGGTGCCCAGAGGGGCGGATACCAGGTTGGATCCATGGGTTCCAACGGCCAGCGAGGGGTGCGGAACACTGTTTCATTTCAACTTGGCCATATCCAACAAATTCCTTGGCACCTTCTGCGGGCGAGGCCCTTTCCACCGGCCTGTCAGTGCCTGGGATTTTCCCTCCTGCTTGTCTCCACTCACTCCTTTCCTTCCGGAAGTGAGGCAGGCCCGGGATCTCTGAGGACACAGGTCAAGTGCACGTGTGGTCAAATCCTTCTGGGACGAATGTCACACATTCATTCTGACATATTAGGCCATACACCCATACATGATGATAAACATTTCATCCAATAACAGCACTTGCAAGCCTAGGTTCAGACCTAACTATTTCAGGCAAAATCTTTTCTAGCAAAAATTTCAGTAGAATCAAAGATTTGGGTATCTCTTTAGAGCTCACTAGAAGGAGCGAGACCTCACGGGAGGCACTGAAGCAGTGACAAAATTAGCCTGAGGACCCAGGCCCACAGTCACATTCAGAGATGCCGAGGAAGGAAATACCGGATGGAAACTGAGTGCCCCCCCAACCCCCACTGCCCGAGATTCCCAGTGCATCGGCAATTACTGCCCACGGCTGTCACCAGTGGGTGTGCATGACCCTGGGGAGCAGGTTCTGGACAGAGACCTCCCAGGCCTGAACACCAAGACACACAAGACACACCAGGGCCCTGCCCCCCAGAGCCACACTGAGTCCCCCACACAGTCCTGAGGCTGGCAGAGCTGGCCCACGGGTTCTAGAACCCTGACATTTTCCCGACAGGAGGAAAATGTCAATTAAAGTAAATTCCTAGAGTTAGAGACTTTCCAAGAAGCATGTGTCTTTGTGGTACATCCCCAACCTTACAGGTCAGGAAGCGGTCGCTCAGACGGAGGAATGGACTGGCCCAGAGGATTTTGCCGCAAGCCCGGGTCTCTTGATGCCACGTCGCTCTGGGGCACAGCCTCCTGCCTGTGAACACTGGTGTGCCGATTTGGCCAACAGGGAAACGCATCAGAAAGATGTCAGCGAGTCTGCCCTGATCCAGGTCACATTGCAGCTGCGCACCCCCGCAAAGGCGCTGGCCTCTGATTACTCCGAGAGCTCTGCAGGCTACAAATCAGCCCAAATCCAAGGAAAGGAGGAGAAGGGTTAGGCTCATCACACCGACTTTTACACTGATAACCTAAGAAGCACAAACCGGCAACAACAGGCAAGCACCTCGTCGCTGCCTGAGAGTGAGGTTTTAAGGCAGATCTGGTGAGAGCTAAGCAGGTATAAGAAGTCCATTTCTCAAAGGAAAGCAAATTCTCGAAGATTAGCACACACACTGAACCGACTTCACATCTTCATCGGGACAGTATGGAATGCCGTGTGGGTGGGCACCAATCTTACTGGGGGATTTTTACATCCGAGAAGTCACCAGCACACCCAACCTGGATGGGCATGGCCCTCCCACCCACTCCCCTGCCTTCAGCTTGCGGGTTTTAGGGAAAACAGAGGGCTTGTTACCTGTAAAACTGCAGCTGTCTTTTGGGACTCCCGTACCGAGTACTGCGGACAGCAGTGGAGGAGAGAGAAACAGGAGAGGGAGAGAAGAGAGAGAGGCCACAACTGACATTAACCACAGGCAGGTGCCAGCCCGGGAAGCATCAGCAACACCTGCAGCCCCGGCCCCACCCCTCTGTTCCGTGCTGTTGGCAGGATGCGTGTTGGGTACCAAGCGCTCGGCGGCAGCGCCACCCAGTGGCACTCGGAGGCAGAGGCCCGCTGTATTCAGACACTTGGGGTTCCTTCTGTGCCTGGCCTCATTCCCTCACGGAGCCGGGATATGAAGACAAGAGGTAATGGGGTGGGGTGGTGGGGTGGGATGGACAGTCTGTTTGGGTTTTAATGAAATACGCTTTAGAACAACAGTTGAAAACCCTCAAACCTTCTTGGTGCCCGTCATCCCACATGCTGGCAACTCTGCATGTGACCATGGGGTTCTTTTTAGGACTTTGGTGAAGGAGGGACACCCCATTGCCCTGTGGGTTCCATGGACAGTCGCTCTGACTCAGGCGCTAACAATTATCTAGGAAGGTCCAATTAATCACGGACTGACGGGCCCTGGGGTTCTGCCTGGGCCCTCATCTTTCGTGACAGTGACTGCCATCTGGGTTCTATGCTCTGTCCATGGAGCCAGCAGCTCACACCCAGCGCCTTTCCGCCTGCCCTCCCTGTGGTTCAACCTGTACTATTTTCCAAACAGGAAGATCCAGAGCTGGATTTGGAAGTGGCTGTCAGAAGTAGGAGGTCAGGGCCGGCCCCGTGGCTTAGCAGTTAAGTGGGCGCGCTTCGCTACTGGCAGCCCTGGTTCGGATCCCGGGCACACACCGATGCACTGCTTCTCCGGCCGTACTGAGGCCATGTCCCACATACAGCAACTAGAAGGACGTGCAACTATGACATACAGCTATCTACTGGGGCTTTGGGGAAAAAAGGAAAAAGGAGGAGGATTGGCAATAGATGTGAGCTCAGGGCTGACGTTCCTCACAAAAAAATAAATAAATAAATAAAAAAAGAAGTAGGAGGTCAAGGGTGCCCCTGAGCACCTGGCCGCCCCCACCCTCCCTGGGCATTTGAAAATGGGCAGACATGGTTCCCACAGGCTTGCAAGGCTTTGAGACTCACTCAGGGCGTTGGGGGAGCTGGTGAGACACAGGGGGCCACACGAGCCTTGATGTGTAAGACCAGAGAAAGGGAAGCCGGGAAGGGCCCCCAGCTCACTCTCGGGCCTCTGTCACCTCCAGTGGAATATTTCAGAGGAGTCAGGAACAAGGCGGAGTCTTGTCCTGGCTCCATCCCACCCGGAAAATCTTGGGCTTTTCTTTCCCACTTTGGTTTTGAAAGCTTCGGTTCCTTTCCTTAGAGAAAACGCTCGCCCATGTGCACCTCAGAGCCCTGTGGGCCTCGCTCGGTCCTTCCCTCTGGGTCAAGGGGAGGAGACTGACCTGGGCTGACCCTGGGAGGGGCCTGGGGGGTGGGGCGGGGGGGTCACCTGTAGATCATGCCGGGGGAGCCGGTCTGCCGCAGGGAGAGCCGAGCTGGGGAGCCCGTAGTCGATTCCGGATACATGGAGCCGGCCTCACTGGTCCCGACCTGTTCTCCTCACGGAGGGAAGATTCTGGAGGAAAAGCCAAGTGGGAGGGGAGGTGGTTAAAAAAGACCAACCGGGTCTCGATCATGAAGGCCCAGTTCATCGGGCATCTGTATGTCCCCCATCAGACAGACAGACCCCGGAGGCTCAGATGAGGCCGACGATCGGGTCCAATGACTCTGCGAAGGATTTCCACTGCATCTCTCCACTTCCCACCCCAAGGCTTTGTGGGGGTCCTTCCGCCCCGTGACTGCTTTTCTGAGGCTCTGGGAGCACTTTCCTATTGCCCAAACTATGTATAAACAGTGGTCCCAGAGGGAATCTGTGGACTTGGAACTCTGGACTGTCTTCCCCACCCCAGGAAGTGGCACCACTGCCACCCAGGGTCACCCTCGATGCCTCACCTTCCCTGACCCCTGACTCCAGCCCACTGCAGCTTGCTAGTACCACTGCTCAGCTTTAAGGAAGGCAGCTTGTCAGATGCCTCAATGAGCCCCAGCACCTGGGACTCATGCCCTTGTGTACCCCCTCCCCTTGAGTGTGCGCTGGACCTAGGGACTTGCTCCTAAGCAACAGAACATGGCACAAGTGACACAACGTCACTTCCGTGATTAGGCAACACAAATCACGCCTTCAGTCTTGCTAGCAGGCTCTCTCCCTCGCTGGCTCTGATGAAGCAAGCTACCATGCTGGAGAGGCCCATGTGGCAAGGAACTGAGGCCCTCAGTCCAACAGCTCACAAAGAATGAATCCTTCAAATCATGGGAGCTTAGAAGAGGATCCTTCCCCAGTCAAGCCTTCAAATGAGACCCCAGCCCTGGCCAAGACCTTGACTGCAGGCTTGTGAGGCTCTGAAGCAGAGGACCCAGGTAAGCCGTGCCTGCACTCCTGACCCACAGAAACTGAGATAAGAGAAGTTGTTTTAAGCCTCTTAGTTTGTGGTAATATTTTATGCAGCAACAGATAATGACTGCGATAGCCAACATCCCTCCATTCACTTCTCCCGCTGCTACCCGTGGGCTGAGCTGCTGTCACCTTTCACCTGAACCACGGGATCAGCCTCCTAACTGCTCCCCCCGCTTCCACCCTCAGGCCTGCACTCCTTGCTCCACCAGCAGCCAGAGGCATCTATGTCGAAAGCAAATTAGGTCGTCACCCCTCTCTTCCCCTTCCCCAGCCATGGCTCCCAGGCCCTGGTGCTCTGCCTCCTGACTCTCTCTCCACCTGCAGCCTCTCACCCTCCCCCCTTTACTCACGGACCCCAGCCACCTAGGCCTTCTCAACAGGCCAAGTGCATGCCCTCTGCAGGGCCTTTGCACTGACCATTCCTTCTGCCTGGAACGCCCTTACCACAGGCCTTCTCATTGTTGGGCCTCTCCATCAAGCCTGTCCCTGACCCTCATGCTCAGGGCTTCCCTCCCAGCTCCCAGCCTGCTGTCCTGTGTAGGGAGGCTGTGTAGGCGACACTAGCCGACCTTCCTGCCGTCTGTCCCTGGGTTCTGCTCCCTCTCTAGAGTACCAGCTCCCCCAGGGCAGGGATTTTGTCGATCTCACTCACTGCTACATCCTCTGTGCCTAGAGCAGGACCTGGCACTTGGCAAGGGTTAACACACGGCTTCTGAAAGAGTGACGGTCCCCTGATCCAAAATCATGTGGTCCTGCACCGACGGGCAAAGGGAGGGTCTGGGCTCAAAATACAGCCCTACCTGAGACGGGGCCCTGAAACTGGAGGGTAAGCATGCTCCTCAGCCGAGTGCCCACCTGGAGGGCTTGGTTCATGTGACTTGCAGTGACCTCCCGTCACCGTCACTGGGACGTGGGCTTCCTCTGGACATTCCCCACCCCCTGGCACTGGCACCTTCGTGGTGCAGGATTAGGTGCCGCTCATAACTGAGGTCTCTGAGCGAGCAGTGTGAGCATGTGTGTGTGAACACACTGGAAGAATGGGGAGAGAAAACACAGGTCAGAGTCACCACCGTGACAACCTCAGAGATGATGGAGACGGTGGGGTCAGTGATGGTCCCCAGAGTTCTATCCTAAAAGAACCTCATTCAGAGTGGAATGACGAAAAAAATAAAGATGCACTTAAATCCTTAAAAGAAACACAGCGGATGCTGAATCCATGTCTTTTGGCCCATAGGTGACTCCTCGTGAGCTGTGAAGACGTAATCTGGGCAAACCTCTCCAGGGGCCCCTCTGTGCTCCTTTCACCCCAGACCTTGGCCACCCGGCCTTGTCCACCCACGGCCCGGCAGGCCAGCTCTGAGCGGACACTGAAGGCCTCTGGATCACCTTTTCCTTTACTCTGGGTTCCATCAGTGTCCCTGTCACCAGACGTACCAGCCTGATTCCCACCTGCCCAGATCTACACAATAACTTCTTAGAGCCCCGAGCCGCTGAGGGACGCTGCACTTTTGGGCCACCACACGCCCAGATCTAACCTGTCGGGAAAGCAGTTGGTTATGCGGCTCTGGGGGAATCGAGTCCCTGCAGCTTTGGGGCTGAGGGAGCCTCAACGGTGGCCTCTCCTTTCAGCCCATTAGCTGCTCTTGGCGTTTGCCTCAGGGCATGAAATCCAATTGGCTCACTAAGTTGTTAACCTTCAGTAAGAGGGTAGTAGATTCACCAGCCCATGGAACGTTTGACGAGGCCCTACTGTGCGCAGGTGCTGGAGGCCACCTGTAAGACACCAGAGAGCCCCTGCCTTGAGGCACGCTGGGGTGAGTGAGGGACACGAACAAGAAACCACAGCCACAGAGCTGAGGGTGCACCGAGCGCCAGGCACTGCGTGCTGGGAGCAGAGCTGTCCCCAGGGCCTGTCTAAATGGTCCAGCGGCCTTGGGGGAGGCGGGGTGCAGGATGTCCTCACACAGGTTAAGGGGATGGGGGCCAGGCAGCCAAGAGCAGGCTGGGATGCCCATGCCCTTCCCTGGAAGGTGTGGCCCACCCGACACCTTGCCATCTCCTCTCTGGCTCTCCCTGGATCCAGCTGCCTAGAGGTGGTGCCTAGCCCCCAGCTCAGGCACTGCGGGTGTTTCACTTCCAGAATTCCAGAATCACAGACTCAATCTGCATTTGAAATGGTGTGGGGACCAAGAGTCTCTGATTCCATAGATGTGGGGTGGGCACAAGAATCTGCATTTCTTACTAGTCCCCAGGTGACCCCATGTTGCTAGTCCAGGGACCACACTTTGAGGGCCGCTGGCCTAGGGCATAGGGCCTGGACTAGGAGTTGGCAAACTGTGGCCAGCGGGCCGAATCTGGCCTGCCATCTATTTTTGTAAGCAAGGCTTTATTGAAACACCTCCACACGTTTGTGCTACAAGGGCAGGGTGAGCAGTTGCAATAGAGACCTCCTGGCCTGAGAGGCCTAAAATATTTACCACCTGGCCCTTTACAGAAGAAGTCTGCTGACCCTGTTCTGGGCCATTCTTTCCCTTCCTCTCCAAGATGACAAATTCCTGCCCCTTTCTCCTGAAGTCCCCACACCTCCTCTCCCATGTCTCGCTCAGCTCTTGATTTCGCTGCTTCCTGTTTCAGGCTGCTCCTTCTCAGTCTCCTCGGCCGTGTCCTGCTCATCTCTGATCTCTCACTTCCGTAGCTGCTCACACTCGGGCCTTGAATCTCCTTTCTTTTCCATCCACACAAAGTTTCTCAGATTTCTGCCAGTCTTCCAGCTCTGAACTCTGTCACTACACTGCAGACCCCCACAATTATATCTCCAGCCCCCATCCTTCCCCCGAACCCCAGACTCCTTTCTTCAACTGCCCATTCGGCATCTCTGAGGATGTGGAACAAGCATCTTGGATTCACTGATCCTCCCACTCCCCCAGCCTTGTTCTTCCCACAGCCGTTCCCATCACTGGACCATCTTCAGAAACATCCAGAATCCCAAATTTCTCACAGTGATCTCCACCACCTCCTCCCTGGTCTGGGCCACCACCTTCTCTCTTGTAGGTCACCACAACAGCTTTCTGACAGGTCTCCCGGCTTCCACCTTTACCCCTTATGGTCTACTTTACAGGGGCCAGAGTGAACCTTCTAGAACATAGATCATGTCGTTACTTTACTGGAACCTCCCAATTTTCCCATTCAATCCAGAGCAAAAGCCTGAATCTCAGCAACAACCTCGGGGCCCCGCCTTGCCTGCCCCATGATCTCTCTGACCACATCTCCTGCCATCCCCCTCGCTCACTCCGCCCCAGCCGCACTGGCTCCTTGGGATCCCATGACCCCAGCAGACACTCAACCTCAGGGCTTTGGTCCCTGCCCTTCCTTCCACCTGAAGCTCTCTGAATCCAGAGATCCATCTGAGAGCCCCCTCTCCGACCTTTGCCTCTTTATACAAAGGTCACCGTCTCTCTGAGCCTTCTCTGGACACTTTATCTTAAATTGCAACCCTGTCTCCTCCACACTCCCCTAGTCCCTTCCACGCATCATTTTTCTCCCTGGCACTTGTCACCTCTAACATACCTCCTGCTTCACCCACTGCCCCATTTAGGATCCATGTCTCCCTCCCCACCCAAGACACCAGCTCCATGAATGCAGGAAGTTTTGTCTGTTGTGTTCACAGCTGTGCCTGACACACAGCAGGCACTCAAATATTTGTTGAATGAATGAATGAATGAATGAATGACTTTGTGACTCAGCCTGCTGGAGGCCCACCGAGAGAAAGCACAAAGGGAGCGGCTGGGTGGTCTGCGTTAACTGCAAGTAGAATACCCGCGGTGACGGGAGGGCCTGGGGATGCTGCCTGCAGGTGGGACAAGGGCAGTCTACTCTGGAGGGTGCAGTGCCTGCTCTGTCCAGCGGGGGCGCTCAGGGCAGCTACAGGTGCAGGGACAACCAGTGCCACTGGCTACACTTCCGGAGGTGTCCCTGGGGAGGCTACCTGTCCCACTCTGCACCCCTACCTAGCCTGGACTCCGGAAGGTCAGGTTCCCTCTGAGCCAGCGGCCAGCTCTCCAGCCCACAGCCACAGCAGGGCACTGGTTACACTCTGATGCCCACTTCACAAGGAATCGTAG